CATGAAATGGTAGGTCAATAAAATTTTGAATGCGAGTCAACAAACAAGATGACATGACCTTTCACCAGTGGCTCGTCACAAAGGCATTAAAAAAACATTGGATAAGTAAAATTCACATTCTTATTAGCACACTCCTAATATTTTAAAAACTGAGTAATGAGTCTGAATATACAGCAGTGCAGTTGATTGTGTAATTTCTTAACACAGCCATAAAAGAAAAAAACCTTCCAAATTAAATTTACCTTATTGAAACTAAGTTTTTTCAAAGATCACATACATTAAGTAAATATTTCTTTACATAAAAATGTTTGTAAAAAAAGCAATTAAATTTCAACAAAGATTTTTCATTTTACATGGCTCATTTAAAAGAAAATCAGGAAATTTGTTGCTCTTTTTTAGATCAAAGCCAGAATTGACTAACTGTGCTCTGTCCATGCAGGAAATTAAACTCTGGATTCTAGCATTGTAAATATGTCAACTTACCATAGACTCATCAGAAGGCAAGAAAATTTGTAATCAAGCCTGACAATGTATCACTGGATAAAACTATGGTTGAAGTTTAATTTTCAGTGATTTTATTTTGAAATTATTAATTACAAAGATGTTAATGTTTTAGAAAAAAGAAATTTTACTCAATTTAATGACATAATGGTGTAAAATAATAAAATGTAAAATTAGGATATACGTTACTTCACTTTTCTATTAACCCTCTCTCCACAGGCATCCTTTACTGCCCATGTCACAAGGTGACTTACATTCAAAATTTAATTAAACTACATTTTGTTTATGTTATACCAATTAGTATAGCATAAAGTCATAGCTAATAATCTATATCTTAATAGTATATACGTTTTAAGTTCTTAATCTTTTAAGGCAATATTTGAAAAAATTCTGAATTTCCCCTAGTGTGAGAAATGTGACATTTTTTCTCTAGGTATTTCCTCTTCTCTATTTTATTCACGACCCCTCCAATAAGTATGAAATTTATTTTTAAATTACTCACTATACAATTGTTATAGCCCAGAAAAATAATGTTTATAGCCTTCAAATAGAGCCATCAAATATAAAATCAGACCCTTTTGCCACACCCATCAGATCCTCTTTTTCAGGATTAGATCATAGTTCTCTCTTATGTTTAATACTATATAACCAATAGAAAGCCAAGGTTTTCATCTATCAAATGACATACTATATTAAGTTGTTTTCTGAACAGAGAATTGTCAATTTCTCTTTTAGTACAAGCTTTATTCCCACGGGAAACATATCAACCAGCTTGGATGAATTTGTAACAGCTCTTGCTGCATAGTTAGAAAGCCAGAAAAATTGTGATAGTTATGGGACATTGTCTGCTTTTTTGCATGTCATTATTCTATGTTATTTGGTGTTTTATTTAATTAAATACAAATTATTTAGTACATTCTTACAATTAATATTAAAAAGTAGGGTTGAGTATCGTTGACAGTCGATAGCAATAAAAAGAAGACCCAGGTAAGTACTTTATTTCTTGTTTTTCATGCGTATTCTTTATTTATTATTATAGAAGTAACTAAAATGTAAAAAGTAGGAA